GGTATACTCGGTCGAAGTCAAAGGTTGTTTAATGCCCGATCAAAGCCGGTCAAAGTTTTGGTCAACAGTGGTCAACTCCGGTCAACGGTCAACGGGTCAACGGTCAACGGGTCGGGTCAACGGGTCGGGTAAACGGGTCGGGTCGGGTAAACGGGTCGGGTCGGGTTGTGACCGGTCAAACCGGTCAAAACAGTTCCAAAACCGGTCAAACCGGTCACTTTTCCCTTCCCCACGCGCAGTGGCGGCGCGTGGGGGCGCGTGAACAGTGATAAAATCCCGGAAAAATTTCTAAAAATTATTTTGATCGATTTCGAGATACTTACAAAGCTCGGTTCACAATTTTGAACGGCGGAGAGCTCGATTTCAACAAATCGGGAAGTTTGACCGGTTCACCTCCCAACGCACCGCCGCCGCCGGAGAAAAAGGAGAACACCGGTGGACTCGGAACGGCACAAGGAACACGATGGTTCGGGAGGTGTCGTAAACGGATGACCCGATTGTCGTGAATCGATGAAAAACCAACTAAAACCGAGTTATTACCGACGATACTTCCGACTGAAATTCACAACGAACGGCGATGATTCACGACGAAAGGTTTGAGGGGTTTTGTTCCTCGGTTGACAACGAACACGATGGTTGTTTCGGCTTGTCGTTTGGAGGTCGGACGGCGAGTAGATCGGAGTTGGAAGTAGGGAGAACGGGAGAGGAAAACTGGAAAATTTTCCAGAAACATACGGGAGTCTGGGGGGTTTATAACATCTCATAATTAAAAATGGCTAAACCAAGAGTTTAGCCACTGAACTTCCTGCACTTCTTAAAACGGTCTGTCAACTTTGAAATCTTACAATTTAATCCCTTATTTCTTTCAAAATACCAAATTAAATCCACCAATTTATATTTTCTTAAATTTAGCCCCTAAATTGGGGTGTTACAGAAACGTTCGGATTATTCTGGAAAACTACGAAGTGACCAGGATAGACATGACTACTAAATGAACTAAGTAACCTCAATGATTGAGGATTAAGTAAGTGATTTGGATAAGTCTGGAAACGCTAATGAACTTACATGATGTATTGTCCCTATGGGTTATGAACCACGTATTAAGTACGTCGACAATTCCTGATATTGTTGCAATGTGGAAATGAAATAAAGACCATTGAAATATATGTTCGTCTCCTTAAGATCTATTCAGCGATGATTCTGAAGATGATCTATGGAAAAAAATTTGGTATTAAAGAGTGAATACCCTGGAAGGACAACGAATAAATCAGTCAACATGCATTAGTTCTGGGAGTTCTTTAGCTTGAGTTAACTCAATAACACGATAGATCGACATAGATTGTAATTGTCCTGAATCTTCGTTTCTCTCTTATCAACTCAAATCACTTCGGTTATATCGGAAAACACAAGTAACTCAGATGCAAAAGATCCTGAATACCCCATTTGGTTCAATTGGACTTAAAATCCTATTAATTCAATGCATAATCCTGAATACCCCTGATTGTTTGATTAATGGAATCACTCTCCGTAAATCTAAATCTAGAATTATTTTGGTATATAGGTTCTTGAACACATTCCTGATGCACCTGAATCATATTAGGATTCTAAAGTATCAACTTTAAATGTTTGATTAGATCCATTAGTAATCGATCCCTTTCAATAGGACCTCATTCCTAGAATACGATCAAAGTATATAAGTTTCATGTTTTCCTAATAACTATTAAGTGCCTCTGAGAAATACTTGGATCCTCTAGCGTGTTCCCCACTTACTACATGATTATCTTATATCTTTTGAAATATGTTTCACTTAAATTATTGATTTACTGGCTTATGAACCATGGCTACATGGTATGTGTTTTCTGATTACGGTTTTCACTGGAAAAATATGATTGTTCTTGATTTATGGAATCATGGAATTTTACTGGTTTATGAACTACCGTTTTCTGTTTTCACTAGGTATACTTGAACTGTTTTATTAGGAAATTATCTGGGTAGGCTGAAGGTTCATCTCTGATCAAGCTGGTAAATCCTTACAGACCTAAGGTGACCCTTGGGTAGCCCTGAGGCCCCAAGATACTTTCTTGGGTAGGCTCTCAGTCCCCAAGGCACTTCCTTGGGTTAATCATGGGACTATATATGGTGTACATGTGGAGGACAATTATATGGTTTATTTCATTATCACGTTTATGAGATATTACTGGATCACGATCCAGATATTACGGTTTACAATTAAAACTGATTTCTACTGGATTTTTATATGGGTAGAATTCTGGAGTATAGAGGTTCAGCCCTGATCCAGTTGGTAAATCCTTACGACCTTAAGGTGACCCTTGGGTAGGCTCTCGGACCCGAAGGCATTCCCTTAGGGTGGCTTTCTTTGTTGTGTGCTTAGAGTAAGCCCTTATGGATGCAGTTCTAGGGAACTGTATAACGGTGTTCGGTTGGAGGGTTCTACTAAGGTTTTGAAAACATGTTTTAGATGGTCATTGTTTAAAAAAAGTTTTATATCTTTTCATTGGTTTTGGTTAGAACACACTAGAAACCCTATTCTAATCTCCTAAAAACATTATACTCTGAATGTTTTCTATGAACTGATATCGTCATGGCTTTTACTCAGTAAACTACCAGCGGAACCCCAACTTATCCCGAAAACCTGTATACGTCTAATTCAATAAGGAAATTTTATTGTTCTATATTTATATGCATGTCCTATAGCATCAATAGGTAGTTCTGTATTACTGAGCTTCCCAAAGCCACTATGTTACTCACTTTTTCAGGTTAAAAGGATTGAACCAGTGCAACTATCGACATCGGTAAGGGAGTTCCATCGGCATTGCTTGTAGAGTACGCTGCATGTGATTAGGGGGCATGTAGGTTGTATTTTGGTTTTTTATATATGAATCTGAAATCTGTTTTATTTCTGAATATTGGTAAATTTACTTTTGTATTTATAAATTAATTTATGATTTTAATTGTTTTAACAAAAAAATTAATTTTTCCATGATTTTTACAGTGGGTCGCTCCGGTAGTCCTAATGTGACACCCCGGATCGGATCGGGCCATCCGCATCGGTCTGAGGGGCTACATTTAGCTGTTTATGATGATTCCTCTGCAAGAAGTTAGTTCGTTCGTGATGTTTTGCACTTCATCTGTGTTTACTTTCACCCTACCTTGTGGAGGTTGTGTCCATAGACTCTAGTCAGTTTTCCTCTTCTGTTTAGCTCCGATTTGTTTTAGTGCTGTCACGCTATCTCCATGAAACCTTATGCGTTCTAAAACCGTTTCATTCACCATGTTTTCTGGATCAATTATATTCCTATTTCGGTGTAGACATATTGACCATATAATGCAGGGGCGGAGGTAGGACTGGGCCTACCTAGGCCTTGGCCCCCCATGCCCAAGAGAATCTTTTTTATACTTTCATTATATTTAATTTTAATTATAATTTTATTTAATTAAAATTAAGTTAATTAGAGTCCTGCTTTATTTTAAATTTAATTATCATTAGTTGAGACAACATCAAATCAAATCTTGAGAAAATTAAACGAAGAGAACGATCAAACGAACGATAAAGAAGACCGAATAGGTACCAAAAGGTAAAGGAAAACAAGTCATAGAGGTAAAATAATTAGAAACTTATAAAAAAGAAAAAAAAAAGATAAGATATAAGACTCAAAAAAAACAAGAAATATCAATGATCCGGACCAATACTAAGGATGATATAGCCATCAAGAATTCCAAAGTTGAAAAAACAATTTCTCTAAGCGATGATCAATTTAGTTCGGGGCTAGGGTTTCTTTGAATGGCAGTGAGATTTGTTCCCATGATATTAAAAACATGGTGGTAAGGCTAGTTATCATAGAGATAAGGTTAAAATCAACCTCAAGAATAACAGCGAGATTAGAATGAAAATTAAATTTTAGAGTGTGTTTGTTTCCTATAATGTTAAATTACCTTTAAGAGTAGGAATATATGATATACTCATTTTATAAGGAATGATAGAAGATATAAGCATCAAGTCTAAAAATCAAACTTTAGGACATGATGGATTAATTTGGCCATAATAATCCATTATAAGATCCCAATCAGCATAAATAAAATGTAAGAAGTTTTTAGTGGTCCCAGACTTTGTGAGCAAATGTTTTCAAGCTCTTTTGGAAAATAAAGACTTTCAAGCAGCCTAGAATTGTGCTTACTTTTTGAATGATTGGGATTCGAAGCATTTAGACGTCAAATAGAGCAACAAACCATTTATGGAGAATACAAGTTGAGTTATATTTATGTGATTTCCCTGCCTTTCACAAAGGCAGATTGACTCTTTGAAACGATCTTCGGCAGCCACTTGGTCATCCGAACCACTGTGACTTTAGTGATGCATTTATACAGAACTTGGCAGCAAGACATAGGCTTAAAATCCCAGTAGTATTGATTCCCCTTAAAGGTCCAAAGTGTTGAAGTAATAAAGAACAACCTCAACCTCCTCTCACGATATCTAAAGCTTTCTGGAAAAAATGTCTTATATTCATCAGTATTAGGGGTCTTATCCCCATTCAGAGAGAATATAGCACCCCTCACCTCATCCCCAAATCCTCCTTGGCCTCAACCGTAAGACCATCACCAATCAAATCCTTCAAGAGGTTAGCAGAAGGAGCTTCAACGGCACCATCCTTCCTCCCCAGCATCATTTGAAAATATGACATTATCTCCTTAGTCAATTGCTGCCTTCCTTCAAGTCTCTCTCTCTTACCATTAAACAACACCCTAATAGAGTTATTATTTTTAATTGTGAAAAAAATCATGTTAGTATTATTCTTATTTTAAATATTGAACTGATGAGGTCTATCAAAATGGTATGACGTTGATGTTATTCTTTCATCAAAAGTATTATTTTTGAAAGCATAACATTCATATGAATTTTAGTGTATCTATAACTCGCTATACTTATTTTAATGCATTTTATGCTTGTTAGTGTTATTTTTTATATATAAAAAAATCAATAATTAAAAGGAAGCAAGAAATTGAAATAACTTATTGACAGAACAAACTAGACGAAGGCAGATGGAGATTCTAAAGAACCAAACACCTACACCAATTTTAACCCTCTATTCAAACTTAATTTATGATCCTAAGGAGGTATCAACCTTTGCATTTGTAGCCCTTGACAGAAATTTCATGCAAATCGGTGGTTTTACCCCTGCTAGAGCAAGTATTGAACTTGGCAACGTCCATATACCGTCCCCGCAGATGAGACCCGAGGCAACTGCCGGCGAGAATGCGTCTGCCTTCGCCTTGTTTACCTTTTCCCACACGAATAAGATCAAACTTCCCACACACATATCGATGGCAAAGTACGGGCCAATGTAGAAAGGTATTGCCATTGCCATTGGAAGTGGTATGTAGTCCCCATATTTCTTACCCATCATGTCCTTAATGAAGTTGATCAAGATGGCTGCAGCAAAGAACCCATAACAAAGCGATAGGCAGTTTTTCGGTAGGGCAGAGAACCCCTGAACCCCCAATATCGCCATGTTGCGATAAACGATGGCGAAAGGAGCAGGATATTGACTGTCAGGGATGCCGAAGTCGTCGAATGCTTTGTAGAAAAGCCAGAAGACGCAGGGTGAAATTATGCAGCCCATGGAAGTGCCAATCACTTGGCTAATGAACATGGACCAGGGAGAAGCCAGGGTGAGGTAGCCCGTCTTAAAATCCTGCATCAGGTCGGAGGCTGTTGAAACAATGTTCATCATCACACCACATGCTGCGAGGCCTGCAAGGACTCCACCATGTGAACCTGCCCAAGCTCCAATTGTAAAGATGGCTAGCTTTCCGTAGGTGGAGGCAAGGGACCAGTCTGTCAGTCCACATCCGTATGCATTACAGAAAGCCAGAGTTGGTGCAAATATGTAGATGACCAATATGTAATACCATTTCAGATCACGAAAGAGGTGCGGAAGAAGGACGGTAGAGATGACAGCGATCGTGACATAACCTGCAACCGAAAACCATATCGGAATCTGATCTTTTAAAAAGAATTCGGTTCGGCGCTGGTCATCATACGATAGCTTCTTCGAGGCATCAGGAGTTCTAGGCTGGTTTGCAATGGGGAGAGCTTGATTACCTCGGACTTGATGGAACAAGCCTGTGAGAGTCCTGCTAAACACCTTGAAAAAGTTGTATAGACCATCCCCTAGAATCATAGCAATGGCAATAAATACCTGCATTTCGGGATTAAGTCAGGGATTAAGTCAAGCGTCAAACGTGAACGGGGAAGATGAAAAAACTATGGATGCTGAGGAGCTTATACGAAACTAACCTTGTAACCCTGGAGGCCATGCATATTGCTTGTAGGAAGACCTGCAGGATACCAATAACCCTTTCTTTGTTCAATGAGAGGCCACATTAGACCCCATGAAAGTATTCCTCCAAGAAGCACCGATATGTTAATTATGTAGGGACAGATCATCCCTACACCAACATACGTTGCTGAGAAATCAAAGTAAAACCTGAACATTAGCAAAGCAAGTATATATTAGCCAAATCATAAGCAAAATATTAGTATGAATGCACAGTCTAATTTAAAGAAGTGATTTTTTTTACTCACTTGTTCTCATATGCTCTAATCCCAAATGTAGGGAAGTTGACAAATCCACAATCATCTCCAGCAGTGAAAAACCATTGAAAGAAACCCCAGAAGAAGCTGAAAGAAAAGAACTTGCCTAATGCTTTTACTTGTTTCCTACAAGCATGAAACAATTAGCTATAATTAATTTATAGATGGAATTAGAAATTAATGAAAAAAGTGACAGTGATTTACTTTGCAAGCTTGGCTCCTTGAGGAGTGTGGAAGCTGTTGATAAGATGCGCTGTTGCAGTGCCACTTGGATATGTCAACTTGAAGTCTATAACCATTATCTGATACCAACAACATTACTCAATATCATTGCAACTTTAATGTAAATATATGTCCATCAATGGTGCACTGATATGGGTATGGATAACAGAGATGGATATGAAAACAAAAGGCGATAATTTTTAAAATTATAAGATATGAGTAAGATAGAAGTATTGGTAAATATAATGTTAATTTTAAAATTTTAAAAAGATATATAAATATTCATTAAAATTTATAACAATTAGAATTCTTTAATAAAAGACAGAAAATGTAGTGGATGTAAATCTAATATTTAACCCGACTTGAATTTAATTATTCCTCTTAAATGAATCGACAAAAATATTCAAATTTCTTTCGTAACAAGAGAATGAAATAAGTTGTCAAATATAAGAACAAGAGAGCTTCCAGATCTCAATAATAGTTTTTGTAAGGAAAATTAAATTGTAATTAAAAATTAAAATTATAGTCTAAGTCGTCTATATTTTTTCTATTGAGAAGGTACCTTCCGCAGGGGCAGCACGGAAAAAAGACCTAAAAAGCTGACAATAAAGAGGAAGCCAATAATCCATCCTAGTGAGGGGTTCTTAAAACCATCACTATTGTCCTCAGATTGTTTGGCAATGCGTTCACTCATTCCAAACAGGTAACTCCCGAATCCACCTGTGCACAACATCCAATATTCAGTTTATCAGATCCAATTGTATATATATATATCAGTGCATCAAATACTCACCCTCCCATGTATAATTCTATACATATTACTCAACACATTATCATTGTACCAAATACTCATTATATATATCATGACCTACGGTACCATATTTAAAAATATTTTATACGAAATTAACATAAATAAAATTTTAAAATAAACACAATCAATAAAATAAATAATTATTAAAATAAAAATTTAAATTTAAAGATGGGCATAAGACATGTGTATCTCAACTATTATTCATAAATTACATGATTAGTATCTCAACTAATACTTTTATTCTATTTTGAACACCTTACTATCTTTTAAAAAAAATTATATTGAAGGTTATGTTTTATTTTATTTTGGCTACTAATGAAACCAAAACATAACGTTAGGTATAATTGAAAAAAATAATAGTTAAATGATCAAAATAAAATAAAAGTGATAGTTGAGGTACTAAATGTGTAATTTACCTTTTTTTATTTAATTGTCAAAATGGATAAGAACAAATCTGCCTCAGGTTTTTTATTCCAATCTGTCGATAACTCTATCCGACGTTACTGTAGAACAGCTAAAATGCTCGTAAACAAATCTAGAATAGCCCTTATTTTGGCAACGGACGGCAAAGCTAAAGGTCTCTTGACAACAATGGGTGATATGCAAATTTTAATACTCTGTTTTTTTTCAAAAAAATTGATATACAAATTTTCATTTTTTTTCTATTTTTATTAACAAATTAAATTAAATTAAATATTTTTTTAAAATAATTAATCTTCAGTGATTCCTTACGTAGTCACGTAAATCCGGCCCTGGGTGGTACTCGTTTTTCTGAAATCAAAGAAAGAAAAAAAATACGTACCGCTGAAGGCGATGCCGGAGGAGGCGACGACGCAGGTCTGAATAACGGTGTTTTCCTGCCTGGTGAAGGGCTGTTTGAGTATCCCCGATTTCTGGAGCATCTTGGTCCACGTCTTGACGAAGAAGAACCCCAACAAGCCAGCCGACACATTGAGCGACGGTATAATCCCCGTCGTCAAGTTGAGCTTCATCACGATGAAGCTGAACATTATGCTCAACACAAAGCTCACCACAAACGCCCTGATCGTCAACTGATCCCTCCACGACGGTACCTCCTGGCTCTCAAATATCTCCTCCAACGACCTCTCCTCCCCCTTCCCTTCCTTCTTCCCTTCTCCTTCCTCCCTGCTAACTCCATTCTCTACCCTTTCTTCATCCATCTTTTTGTTAAATTCTCATTAACAAATGAATGTTACGGAAAGAAGTAATGAGAGTTTTATACGGGAAAAAACAATGGGGTGGGCAGTAGGAACATGCTAATGAAAAGGCAGGCGGTTGCTTTCACTTGATCACATAGAGAGCGTGAATCTTATTAAAATGAGAATAAAAGATGGTTTGCTTTGGACAGTGACACCCAATAGTAGCTGTTGCTTGTTTTGGGAGTTAATGATGCTTAGAATCTCAGTGTTATTCATAATAACAGTAATAATGGGACATGTGAAAGAGTAATCAACTAACTGTAACCTCCCGCAATTTGAGTAACACTACAAGTTGGTCTAAACTCAAGTATCCGACGGCGTGTATGTAGGGCTTAAAGGAATCATATAATATCTATTGACTAGTGATGGGTTTAATTCAAACGATAAAGTTATTTTGAATAATAAATTAATTTAAAAATTGAAATTTTAATAAAATTATTATATTTATAATAAAAACATTAAAATATTACGTGTGTTACTTTTTAAAAACTTTAATAAAATATTAAATTTATTGTTAAAAATTTAACATACGGTTGAAAATTTTAATTGAGAATGAAATTTGTAATATATTTTTTTATTAAATAGTTTTGAATAAGAATTTTTCGAATCAGATAAATATAAAATTCAAATGACAAACTCTAACACACGTTATAGGATAGGGTTTGGGTCAAATTATAATCTCTAAATGATGGTTTGAATTAAAATATTGAACAATAAAGAGTTATTTTTTTATTAATTTAGGATAAGTACAAGACAGTATTTGTTCAAAGATAACTCTCAACCTTTTGGTGTCATTGAACGCTCACACACCTGAAATCCATAGTGCTCAAGCCCGGGGTCCTCAATCAACAACAACAATTTCTTTACTGTTAGAGTTTGACTTGAATTTAAACTTACATAAATTAATTAATATTTAAATTTGAGAAAGTAAGAATCCTAGTTTGATTAAAAGTAGATAACTTTATTAAAGTAGATTTCTATTTTATTTAGTTTTCCTTTGTAATCAAGTATCTATCCCTATAAATAGATACTAAGGGTAAATGGTTAGATATCAAGTTTTTATTTCACCAAAATCCTCTTGTATTTTCTCCCTTCATATTAGTTAAATTCTTCTCCTCTGCCCATGCTTTTTCCTTTCACGGAAGCTATTCTCAACCTGGCGTTGGGGGCAGCCTACTACCCTACCTCCCCCTTACCCCATACATATGGGAATTGGGTTTTGTTGTTGTTGTTGTTGTTGTTGTTGTTGTTTATTTGTTTGTCGATCATTGTTATGATATTATAACAAATTAGTATCAAAGCTTTAGGTTCAATATTATGGCAGCAATAAAGTATGATATTGTAACCCCCTAGACCCGACCTATGCGTTTCGACTAAGTCTAGTGGATCACATTATGATTCTTAAAGACATTTTCTGAAACCGTTATTCAATCAATGTAAAATCACATTATAAATGTCATGAAATAAATTATACCATCAAAACCCAACTTATAAATATAATACCGATAAGTAATAAATTAATTTAAAAAATGACTTCAAAATCAAAATCACAATAAACCGAACAGTAATAGCAAAAGTGTCATCATCCTAAAATATGATACTTTAAAATAAGGTCCATGTCACAAAAATAAAGTCAACTAGCAAGATAAAACATTACAATCAGATATACTTCAAGAGATATGTTGATCCTCCAAGTGCTCGAACCGATGTATCTAACCAACAGTATCTGAAAGGGGGAAAATCATTTTCGAAAGGTGAGCTAGGCTCAGTGTGTCCCAATATTACCTTAAAATCAAAATAGGTACATTAAACAAATCATAGTCCAGTAAATCTCATAAATTCATAAAAGAGTTTAACTTTTGAAAATCATAGTTTAAACTCTTTTCTTGTACACCATCAGTAATTTCCAAAACTATTTTCCATATAGTTTACTCTAAGCACACAGCAAAAAGAAAGCCAACCGAAGGATAAGCTTTAGAGCTTGTATCCTTAAGCCCGTAAATCCAAGTCCATATAGCTTACCCTAAGCACACAGCAAGGGAAGCCAACCTAATGTATCTTGGGGCCCCAAGAGTCACAATAGGCCCATTCTGTTCATTAGCTTGATCAGAGCTATACTATTGTAATTCAATCCAAAAGTTCAATTGCACCGTGACACAAATTCCATAAATCCTCACATTAAATTGGTGCATCAATAAAACAGTAACCAAAGAACTCAGTGTACCTCATATTAAAACCAATAAAACAGTTCAGTAATAATTAGGGAACACACTTCGATAATAGGTTCAAATAGTAGATCTACTGATTGCTAGTTTCACCACGCTCTGCTACAGTTTTCGAACCTATTTTATAATAACACTATATTACTTATGGGTAACATAAATAAATCTCTAAAATCATAAAATTTACGGGTCTTACGGGTGAATACTGGAACACGTGGTTTAATTGATCTAGAAGAGCTGGGTCGAGCTGTCGAACGATCCGGAGAGTCTCTTGTACCTTCAAACAATAATAATTTATCAGCCCCAAATCTTACTTAATTGTTCAAAGCTAAATTCTTAAGTATATAAGCATTTTCAGGGTTTAACTATCAATTTGGAGGATTTCGGATTTGAATTTGGCCAAACGGATTGCGGAATCGGAACCAGGACATCGAAAAACATAAAGTATGTCTTTTTGAAAATTTAAATTCTTGGTCAAAGTCAAAGTCAACCACATTGACCGTCGATTTGGAGGCCTTCGGGTTTGAATTTGATGAAACGGACTTCGGAAATGGATTTGGGACGTCGAAAACTATTAGAATAGGTATACTCGAAAAAGATTAACGGTCGTTTAATGGTCGGTCAAAGCCATTTTAAGTTTTGGTCAAAGGAGGTCAACGGTCAAGGTCAACGGTCAACAGTCAACGGACGGGTCGGGCTCTTAAAATCCCGGAAAAATTTCTAAAAATTATGTTGAGCGATTTCGAGATACTTACAAAGATCGGTTCAAATTTTTGAACGGCGGAGAGCTCGATTTCAACTCAGCCGAATCTTTGACTGTTCTACCTCCTCACGCGCCGCTGTCGACTGAGACCGAGAATGACACCGGCGGACTTGAAACGGCACAAGGAACATGATGGTGCAGGAGGTGTCATAAACAGAGCAACGATCGGCGGTGAATTTGAGATTTTCCCGGCGATAGAGCTAAAAAAAACTTCGATGCTTTGACTTGAAATTCCCGACGTTTGGCAGCGTTTCGCTTCAATTAATTTAAGGGGATTGTTCCTGACTCGATAACGAACACGATGGTGATTTCAAAATGAAGATCGTAATTCGGACGGCGTCGGGATCGAACTCGGAAACCGGCGTAGGGGGAAGGGAATTTGGGAGCAATTGAGGTGTGGTTTTCTGTTTTAAAACAGAAAACCACATTTATAACATAACATACCTAACTTTCTTGGGTAAATTCAAGACTTGGTCCCTAAATTTTCTTTAACTCTAAAACAAGCTCCAAGTTTTAAAATCTTTAAATTTAGTCCCCATAATTTACCGATTTTCACAATTAAAACCTCCAATTTCAATTAAATATTATTTTGAAAATATCCGGGTTGTTACAATTCTCCCCCTTTACAAGAAATTTCGTCCTCGAAATTTACCTTATGAGAATAGTTGAGGAAACTGAGCCTCCATTGACTCCAATGTCTCCCAAGTAGCTTATGAGGGGCCTCGATTACTCCATTGAACTTTGACCATTGGAATACGCCTATTCCGAAGAACTCGCTCATCTCTTTCTAAGATCTGGATGGGCTCCTCCTCATATTACAAATCAGGTCTCAACTCTACCTCATCAACTTGAATGATGTGATCTGGATCTGGACGGTATCGTCTTAACATAGACACATGAAAAACATCACGGATACGACTAAGATGGGAAGGCAACTCAAGCTGATAAGAAATAGGTCCAACTTTCTTCAGAATACGATACGACCCAATAAATCGCTGACTCGGTTTACCCTTACGTCCAAATCTCAATACTTTCTTCCATAGAGATACATTGAGAAAACCCTGATCTTCAACGTCAAACTGTATATCCTTCCTCCTTTGATCTGCATAAGATTTCTGCCTATCAAATGCCTCTTTCAGACAGTCACGGATCAATCTGACTGTGTCTTCCGTCTCCCTCACTAACTCAGGTCCCAAAGTCTTCCTATCACGCAACTCAGTCCAACAAATCGAGGTGCGACACCTACGCCCATAGAGTGCTTCATAGGGTGCCATACGAATGTTGGTCTGGTAACTGTTATTATAAGTGAATTCAGCCAAAGGCAAAAAGTTCTCCCAGCTACCACGAAAATCAATTACACAACCCCGTAACATATCTTCCAGAATCTGAATTACTCTCTCAGATTGACCATCAGTTTGTGGGTGGAAGGAGGTACTATAATCCAATCTCATACCCAAAGCCGTATGTAGCGCCTTCCAAAATCTCGAAGTAAATCTCGGATCTCGATATGAAATGATAGATAACGGAACACCATGCAATCTGACAATCTCTAAAATATACAACCTCGCCAACTTGTCCAACGTATAATTTATCCGTACAGGAATAAAGTGAGCTGACTTTGTAAGTCTGTCAACAATCACCCAAATTGAATTCTTTTTCGAAGGAGTCATAGGTAAACCAGTAACAAAATCCATAGTAATACGCTCCCATTTCCATTCAGGAATCTTGATAGGTTGTAACAAACCTGATGGATGTTGATGTTCTGCCTTAACTTGCTGACAAGTCAAACACCTCACCACAAAATTCGAGATGTCCTTCTTCATGCCGACCCAATGATACCTCTCTCTCAAATTCCGATACATCTTATCTCCACCGGGGTGCATAGCATATGGACTACTATGAGCCTCAGTAAGGATAGTCTGCCTCAACTCAACATCATCAGGCACACAATACAGACCTTTGAAGCATAAAACTTCATCCTGATCAAGGGC